GTGAAAGATGTAACCCAGCCATATCCCTACCACCCACGGTCCGGCACGACTCCACGGCTTCAGATACACTTTCTCGAAATACTCTCCTCCTTTTCTGAAACGATAAAAAATATGCAAACATTGCTTATCATTGTGCTTATTTTTCTTTAATTTATGTACATTAGTTAATATTCAACAATATTGCATATTTGTTAATAATGTCTGAATCTATTTTCTGTAAAAAGGAAACGTACTCGCCAACCATAACATTAGAAGGAGGAAGGTCGTTGACATAGATGATGAGGGCCGGGATCATTACCGACATCAAAGTCACGAAATAATAGCAAATTTTCCGACCAAAAGCAAATAATTACAAGTGAATCAAAGAATGGGTTAGTATACTTAAAAACACAAACACACACACAAACACACGTTTTGTAGACACACACACGTTTGTAAACACACGGCACACAACCACATACACACACACACAACACACACACCACACACACACACCACACACACAGAACCACACACACACATATAATATGGCACAGTGAAAAAAAACAAAGAAATCTTTATAATATATTATATATATATATATATATATATATAATATCATATATATAATGTGTGTGTGTGTGTGTGGTGTGTGTGTGTGTGTGTGTGGGGTGTGTATGTGTGTTATGTATCACATTATGATATCAAGTCTGTAAAATTTGTTTATAAATATAATATATATATACCCTTTATATATCTATATAATATATATTATATATATATACTATATATATCTAGATTGAATATATAATGCAATATGTAGATATAGAATATATATAATACATATATGATATATATTATATAATATAGATATATAGTAGATATGTATATATATAGATATATATATATCTATTATAGATATATATATAAGATAGAGATATATATTATGTATGTATGGATATATATATATATATATATAGATATATAGATATATATAATATATTATATATATATACATAATATATATACAACAAACATCCACACACACACACACACACACAATATATATATATATTATATATATATATATAATATATATATCATATTATGTAATATATATATGGATATGAATGCATATATTAATATAGATAAGATATATATATATATATATATATATAATAAGATATTTATCTATGTATGTTATATGTAATATATAGATATATGTATATTATTCATAGATATATATATTAGTGTACATATTATATATATCTTTATAATCTATTAATAGAGTACATATATATATATATAGAATATATATGGATAATATATATATATATATATATATGAGGATCTATATAAAAAGATATTATATATAGGTTTTATTAATATAATTATATATATGATATATATATAGAAGGTTAGAAATAATATCTATATTATAGATATAGATATTAGTATATATATAGATAGAGAGACTGGTATAGGTAGATGTAGAGTTTAGAAAATATATATAATTACATATTACGATATATATAGATATTATAGATATATATATAGATATATTATATATATATATATATATATAGATATATATGTATATGTATATTTAGAAATAATGATATACAGATATATATATAATATAGATATATGATATATATTATATAATAATATATATATTCCATGATATATGTATACATTGTATATTTTAATATAAAAATACAAAACCTGATTTCTCTTTATTACACCCCAGAGGCAAGATGAAACAAAGGTGCAACAAGATATCGTTGGTGTCCACAGAGAAGTACAGCATTGTCCCAGCCACTGTAAAATATTTCAATATTAGTATATGTCACACACACCACACACACACACACACATTATATAGAATATATAATATAGTATATATATATATATATAGTAGATAATATATTATATATAGATATCTATATCATCTATGCTATCTATATAGCATCTGGTCTATCTATCTATCATATGCTATCGTATAGATAGTATATATTAATATATATATAATAATAATCTATATAGATATATGTGTGTTATATGTAGTAGAAATGTATATATATATATATATATATATAATATATTAGAGAGATAAGTATATTATAATATAGAGGTCTTATATATATATAATTATTGTATATAGGGATATATATATTATATCTTTATCTCTCTCTCTCTTCTCTCTCTCTCTCTCGAGTCCTCTCTCTCATCTATGGATCTATCTATCTATCGATATAATGATAGATGATCCGACGTAGATTTATATAGACCACAATACTCACTATATACATACATATAGAGAGACTATATATATATAGACATATATATATATATATTATAATATAGATATATTATAGAGTATTATATATGTAGTATTATATACTGCAGGTATCACCACACACCCACACACACACACACACACACACACCAACCACACAGACTAAACACACACACACAAAGGCATACTCATTTTATATGTACACACACACACATACACATATTATCATTAATGCAGTTATATGTAGAAGTATATATATCTATATATTATATAGCAATATATATATAACAGTATATATATACATATGAGTAAGAGATACACACACATCTACATGTATATATATCTATTCTCTATATATATATATATATAATATATATATATTATATATAGATATACATATATATAAATATATGTATATATATATATATTATATATATATATATATAGATATATGAATATATATAGAGATATATATATATATATATATATATATATATATAATCTATATAATATACAGTGTAGAGACTTACACACACATAATGAATGGTCTCTCTCTCTCCTCTCTCTCTCTCTCTCTCTCTACTACCTATATATATATATATATATAATATATATATAGTTATATATACTATAGATATATATATATATATATATAATAATTATATAATGATTCGATGTTCCTGTAACCTTTACACACACACACACACCACACACACACACACCCACACACAACACACAACACACTGCACACACATATATATGTGTGTGGTTGGTTGTGTTTGTAAAGGTACATGAATATAAAGAAAAAAAATATCTATAGGGGGGCCATATATATCTATTTAAATTATATAGCATGTGCCATCGTGTGTGTGGTGTATACATACAATATTATAGCAGATATAATATATATATATATATAATTATATATATATATATATATATATATTTTAATATATATAGATTAGTATAAATAAATTTATATAAATTTACATATATATATATTACATATATATATATACTATATATATATATCTTATATATATATATATACATATAGATATATATCATTCAGTGCTATAGTATGGAATGGCATCTACAGATCAACTAATCTTCTAAGTTGAAATGTTGAGCATCAAAATGTCTTTCCAGAAGTAATCGCGGCATGTTGGATATATGTCATCACCCAAATAACTGCAGAAGGGGCAACCAGTTCGAGAATCGGCAATCGTTCCAAAGAGACCGGAAACAATAAGATAGGGGAAGCAGTCTCGAAATTGATAGAATGAAAAGGTTAGAGTAAGGGTAAAGAATATTTCTATATTATATATATCTATCTATATAAATATGCGTGTGGGGTGTGTATCTGGGTGTGGTGATATGATATACGTGTATATAAGTATACCATATATATGAATGAATATATATATACAACACACACACACACACACACACACACACAACCACCACACACACACACCACCATATATATATATATACATATAATATATATATATATATAATAATATATATATATATATACATATTATATATATATATATATATATATATATATATATATAATATGTATACATCGCGTGTGGTATATAACTGTACATTAGATACACACACAACACACACACAAACCACACGCACACAGGAAACATATGAATATACAATAGTCCTAGGTATCATCTAATACATAACATATATATGTAGATATGTATATGTATATATGATATATATATTATATTATAGATTATATATATATAATATAATTATATATATAGAGATAGTAGATATATATATAGATAATAGTCGATAAACATATATCATATATAATAAGATATATAGTAGTATTATATAGACATATATTATACATAGTATAACAACATTTATGCATTACAACACACACACAACACACACAACAAACACAATATCTATATATATAATATATATATCTATATATATATACATATATAATATATAGATATGTGTGTGGGTGTGTTTACACACACACACACACACACACACACACACACACACACACATATGTATATGTATATATATGTATATTTATATGTTCATACAAAACACACACACACACACACACACGCACACCACACACACACACACACATACACAAACACACGCACACACACAACACACATACATACACCACCACACACATCACACACACGTAGACTAAAACACACACACAACATATTTATTATTTAGTTATATATAATATATACATATATATATTATTATATTATATATACAAATTATATATATATATATATCCCCTGGGTGCCGGGTATGACGTGTACGTACGTGCTATGCCCACGTGAGTACTTGTTTGATTGTTTTTACGCATAGGATGGCAACACTTGTACTAACTCCCCAATGAGCCAATTACGAGCACCGCCCGTCTCGACCGTTTACCCGTTTCTTTGATTACAAATATTTTAACGTAATCATTTGCTGTTTACTAATGTTGAAAAAATATATAAAAATATAATGTTTATGATAAAAATAACAAAAATCGATTTTCAGAAGCAATAGTTGGAAAAATAGTTTTTCCCGCCATTTAAATCAGGCGCTAGCAGAGCCATCGATATGGCAGACATTTCCACGAAAAAACATAGAAAGTGGCCACAATTATTTCCCATTTTTTGTCATTTCCCCGGCCACCATTGGATATATCTTATTATCTATATATATATACTATATAACTTATATATATATGTGGGTAGAATATATATAAACATAAAAGTATATACATACATACATATATATATATATATAATATATATTAATATATATATATATATTATATATTAGACATTAACTACTTATATATATACAGATGTATATATATGTATGTATAGACATGTATATATATTTTATATATTATATATATATATATATATATATATAAAATATATATATATATTTATAATAATAAATAACTAAGATATATCTATATATATATATATATAAAACTAATATATATATATATACATATATATATATATAGAATATATATCAATAAACCAGTTAAATAGAAAAAATACATAAACATTTCATCTATACAATAGTATATGTGCATGTGTATGCTATATATACAGTATTACATATATATTATTATACATATCTATATTATATATATATTTACTATATAATATATATTATCTATATATGTACATTGGATCTCCCCTCCTCTATCTCTCTCTCTCTCTCTCTATATATCTATATCTATATCTCTTCCTATATCCACTATGTCTATCTATATCTCTCTATATTCTCCTCTATCTCTTATCCTATAATCATCTATAGTCTACCCTCTCTCTGTCTACATCTCTCCTCTCTCTATTACTACTATCTATATCCCATATGTCTCATCCGTTGATTGTGTTCTGTTACTGTCTCATCTCTATATAGACGAGAGAGGGAGAGACAGAGATAGAGAGATAGACAGGAGAGAGCATGCGATAGATAGAGAATAGGATATAGATATAGATCATGATAGATAGATACATAGAGGGGAGACTATTAGGAGGAGATAGAAGAGATATATAGATAGAGAGAGGTAGAGACAGATATAGAGCTATAGAAGATAGAGGATACAGATATGGAGAGAGATATATAGAGAGAGAGATAGAGAGATATAGATACAGAGATAGGAGTAGTAGAGAGAAGAGATATATGAGGAGGAGAGAGACAGAGAGGGGATAGAGAGAGATGAGAGAGAGATTGAGATATGATACAGATTTAGGTCAGTATACGAGTGTATGAGAGAGTATGAGAGTGGAGTATGATAATATAGATATAGATGTAGAGACAAGATGAGAGCGATAGATATAGGTATGTCACAACCGAGATATATGAATAGATCGATGATATATATGATGTAGATCATATAGATAGATATAGAGTAGATATATAGAGAGATAGAGAGAGGAGAGATAGATGGACAGAGCATGTTTATTATAGATATAGAGATATATAGAATATTATATATACATATATGTTAGATGATATGATATATATATATATATCTATAGAGACTTGATAAGATCGATGGATATGACAGAGATATTATACTATATAGTATATAATCGAGATATAGATATTGTAGATATATATAGACAAATGTATAGAGAGATAGATAGGTATATACATCTATATAGATATATATTATATATAATGATGATATATATATAGTATATATATATAGATGAGGACATAGAATACATAGGTATATAGATATAAAATATATATAATATAATATATTAGATAGAAAAAGTATAGGGAGATCCGATATATCGTATAAGAGAATATATATATAGAGGTATATATACATACATAGTAGAGATATATAAATATTAGATTATATAGACATGAAGATAGATAGATACAGAGTATATATAGTAGATTAGACTATATATATATAAATATGCTATTATCGATAAAATGAAGTAGAGAATATAAGATATATATATATACTATATATATATATACTATCTATATATATACGATATATATGGTGGGTGGTGTGTGTGGTGTGGTGTGTGTGTATAAATATATAGATATATATTAGATAATATATATATATATATATATATAGATTATATATAGAGGTATAGTATATGATATATATAGATATATATATATAGATATATATATCTGGATGATACATAATATAATATTATATATATATATCTATATATATATATAATATATATAATAGTATATATATATTATGTAGGTATAACATATCGTGGTGTGTTGTTTGGGTGTACACACAAACACAACACACACACACTAAACACACACCACACACACATACACACACAAGCTATAATATATATATATATAATGTATATATATATAGTATTATATGTATAGATTATATATATTATATATAAATATATATCTACATATATATGATTTCGTGACGAAATGTTCTGTGAATTATGGAAATTTGTTAAAGGCCGAGATGATAGTTACTGCTACAAATTAGAGCATGGGTCCACATTAAAGAAAAAACTATTTACTTTTGGGGGGACTATTTTAAATTTAGGCTATTCGGTTTGAAAGCATTTTATCCAATTAATGATCTAGATGCCCGATTCCTTAGCCATTTTGATGTTGGCTTTTTATATATCGTTAAGTTAGTTTTTATTTTTGCTTTGGATTTATATTTTCTTAATGCATTTTGG